GAAAATAAGATAAAACATACAGTTTGTCTCTATGCAATAAACGTATACCTTCAAGTGAGATTAACATTAAATTTTATTAAATATTTTATTCCTTGACAGATCAAACAAGAAAGGAGCTTTAGAACTCTTGAAATCTGTTAAAGAAGGAAAAGACAAAATATTCATTAGAAGCAAAAAGAAAAATCTTGGATATCATGGAAAAAGGCTCTAGAAAAGACGGCTTTGCACTGACTTCACTACTCTACGCTGACATTACTTCTACCATGCTCATTTTAGAAGGAAATGACGATAAATAGTTTGCTAGATAAGATAAGAGATACATGCTTTGTTGAAAGGAATTTAATGCTCGCATAAATGCATCAATAGTAATCTCTAGGATCAACATAAAGATAGACGAAGCAACTTGTGAAACAAATTATAAGTTCAACTCAAAGTTACCGCAACGATCATCTTCTCTAAAGCTACTATAAAAGGATCAGGTCTTCAAACAACAAAGAGAGAGTGACATATATAGAACAAAAGCAATAGAAGTGATATGCATCAAGAAATTTGTATAGAGAAACATACAAAAATACACAAAGCTGAAGAACTACAAAGAAGCATCTTATTGTAAATCTTGTACATATTTCTTTGTAGATTACTTGTACTTTCATTGTTGATTACATCACATCTAGAAGAGACAAAACAATTTTGTAATCATCCATTACCTTGTTGTAAAGGTTGAGCCTAGAAAGGCTTGTGTGAAAGAATACTTAGTGTTAAGCTTGGAGAGACTTATTTGAAATAATACTTAGTGTTGAGCCTGGGAGAAGCTTGTTTAAAAAAATATTTAGTGTTTGACCTTGGAGAGGCTTGTTTGAAAGAATACTTAGTGTTTAAGCCTGGAGAGGCTTGGTTGAAAGAATACTTGGTGCTAAACTTGGAGAGACTTGTTGTTCAAAGAATACTTGGGTGGTTACTTGAAGAGACAACTCAAAGACTACTTAAGATTGAGCCAGAATTGGCTTGGTAAAAAAATACTTGTAACTTAGTGAAAGTTAGTAGAACTCAATCCAATTGAATTGAAAACTGAACATAGTCTTAATGGTTGAGACAAACCGGTATAAAAATTTCTGGTGCCTCATCGAAATCTTCTCTAGTGCTTCATTTGATAAGTCATTTAATTTTCACTTCACAGATGTGTGAGTTTTTGATACACATTATTCAACCCCCTTCTAGTGTGTGTCTTTTCTCCATAGGAAGCCATTAGGTTAACTTATGAGGGTACTAAAGACGTGAGGCTCAAATGAGCTGCTACTCTTTAAATACATTATGAGTTGTTCGTTATGAAGGAGAATGAAACCATTAATGAAATGTTTGGAAGGTCTCTAACCATTCTCAATAGGCTAAAATCCCTAAGAACTAAGTTATAGTTAAGATCATAATTAAGTTACTAAAGCTCAAAACAATCTTAAAATCTTGGATAGTCTTCCAAAAATCTAGGAACCAAAGGCAACCGTTATATTAGAAGCCCATGATCTTAAAATTCTTACACTAGATGAACTCTTAGGAGTCTTGAGAGTTTATGAAGTTCATTTGAACAACAAGGATCATCTAAAAGCAAATGATTCTATTGCTCTAAGGATGGGTAAAACCAACAAAAAAAATGATAAGGGCAAAGCTCTAAAGGTTGAATATAAGCATAACTGCTTAAATGAAGATACTAAGAACTCAACAGACGATGAGATATCTCTCATGTCCAAGAATCTAAGAACATGCTTAAAAAGAATGGAATATTGGAGCTTCCAAAAAAAAAAAGGATAGGTTCAAGAAACTTGTCTAAAAAAGAAAATAAAGAGAACATTTGTTATAAGTATAAAATGCATAGACACATAAAAGTTGAATGTCTAATACCCAAAAAACAATGGACCAATAAAAAGAAGGTCAAGAAGAGTCTAATGACCACCTAGGAGGATCAGGATAACAATAATAGCAGTTCAGACAATGAGAAGACTAACATTTGTCTCGTAATAGATGTAGACAAAATAGTTAAAGAAAAGTGCAAATAATTACAAATAGAAAATGAAAGACTCAAAAAATGACCTGTCATTACTAAAGAGATTCATACTCTTAAACACAAAATCATAAGGAATAAATTACATGAATTTACAACATTGTAGGCTGAAAACATACAACTCGGGAAGCATATAGGATTGTTATCTAACAAAAGTGATTTCAGGTTTAAGAAGAGAGGGCCTAAGACATCATCTTTTGATGAATATGCTTACCTAATTTTAAAAATGTGGGACTAAATATTTCTATTTTAAAATAGAAGAACGAAAATTACATATTAACAAAAATAGAGTAATTAAAATTATAATTTAGAAAAAAAAAGACTAAAATTAGATTCAATCTAGAGAAATTAATGGAATAGTTTAAAGACCACCGAAGTAGTTGAGTTGAGCCGTAGAGTGGTATTTTCCTCAGCCGCAACATGGAAGACAGAAACACAATAGAACCGAACTTCTACCCGCTATGGCAAAACCACCACCCATTGGGTTGCGCTTCCTCCAACCACCATCGCTTTCCCCTTTTCCCATATCGTGTGTTTCTCTCTCTCACTCTCCTCAATTGCATCCATTTTCTTCCTTACTCACACTCCACCATATTCGCCATTGTAACTTCAATTTCCCAATGACTCAGCTTCCCAGAATCTACTGCAATTACTCCTCTTTTGATGTATGCTCTTGTCCTTTCTCATTTTAGAAGGAAATGATGATAAATAGCCTGCTAGATAAGATACGAAATACACACTTTGCTGAAAGGCATTTAATGCCAGCATTAAATGCATCAATGATAATTTCTATGATCAATAAAGAAGACAGACGAAACAACTCATGAAACAAATTATATGTTTAACTCAAAGTTGCCGCAATGGTCAACAAAGAGAGAGTGACATATATAGAACAAAAGCAATAGAAGTGATATGCATCGAGAAATTTGTTTAGAGAAGCATACAAAAATACATAGAGTTGAAAAACTACAAAGAAGCATCTTATTGTAAATCTTGTACATATTTCTTTGTAGATTACTTGTGTTTTTCATTGTTGATTACATCACATCTAGAAAAGATGAAAAAATTTTGTAATCATCCATTACCATGTTGTAAGGGTTGAGCTTGGAGAGATTTGTGTGAAAGAATACTTAGTGTTGAACCTGAAGAGACTTGTTTGAAATAATACTTAGTATTGAGCCAAGAGAGGCTTATTTGAAAGAATACTTAGTGTTTGAACTTGAAAAGGCTTGTTTGAAAGAATACTTAGTCTTTGAACCTAAAAAGGCTTGGTTGAAAGAATACTTGGTGCTAAACTTGGAGAGACTTGTTTAAAGAATACTTGGGTAGTTACTTGAAAATACAAGTCAAAGACTACTTAGGATTGAGTCAGAAGTAGCTTGGTAAAAGAATACTTGTAACTTTGTAAAAGTTAGTAGAACTCAATCTAGTTGGCTTGAGAACTAAGCGTAGTCTCAGTGGTTGAGGCAAACTAGTATAAAAATCTCTAATGCTTCATTTGACTCTTCTCCAATGCTTCATTTGATAGTTCATTTTATTTTCACTATTCAAACGTGTGAGTTTTTTATATACATTATTTAGCCCCCCTTCTAGTGTGTGTCTTTTCTCCATAGGAAGTCATTAGGTTAACTTATGAGGGTACTAAAGATGTGAGGCTTAAACAAGCTGCTACTCTTTAGATACACTATGAGTTGTTCTCTATGAAGGAGAATGAAACCATTAATGAGATGTTTGGAAGGTTTCATACCATTCTTAATAGGCTAAAATTCCTAGGGACTAAGTTATAGTAAATATCAGAATTGAGTTACTAAAACTCAAAATAATCTTAAGATCTTGGATAGTCTTCCAAAAATCTAGGAACCAAAGGCAATTGTTATATCAGAAGCCCAAGATCTTAAAATTCTTACACTTGATGAACTCTTAGGAGTCTTAAGAGTTCATGAAGTCTATTTAAACAAAAAGGATCATCTAAAAGCAAATGATTCTGTTGCTTTAAGGATTGGTGAAACCAACAAAAAAAGGATAAGGGCAAAACTCTAAAGGTTGAACATAAACATAACTTCTTAGATGAAGATATTGAGAACTCAGCGGATGATGAAATATCTCTCATGTTTAAGAAGTCAAGAACATGCTTAAAAAAGAAGGAAAGATTAAGGAGTTTCCAAAAAAAAGAAGGATAAGTTCAAGAGACTTGTCCAAAAAGAAAACAAAGAGGACATTTGTTATGAGTATTAAATGTATGGACACATAAAAGCTGAATGTGTAACACTTAGAAAATAATGGACCAATATAAAGAAGGCCAAGAAGATTCTAATGGCCACCTAGGAGGATCAAGACATCAGTAATAGCAGTTCAAACGATAAGACTAAATTTTGTCTCATGACATATGCAAACAAAATAAGATTGGAGGTAGAATTTGATTCTAACTTTTGTTCTTCAGATAGTTCTGATGAAGAGGAGATGTCCTATGAATTTTTTTTGGCAAACTCTCGCATGATCACTCTTAAGCACAAAAAATTTAAAGAAAAGTGCAAATTATTACAAATAGAAAATGAAAAACTCAAAATGATTTGTTAGACATTACCAAAGAGATTCAGACTCTTAAACACAAAATCATAAGGAATAAACCAAATGAGTTTACAACATTGTAAGCTAAAAACATATAACTTGGGAATGATCTTGCTAAGTTTGTAGATTAGCCTTCTAAAATGAATATACTTCTAAGGCATGTAGGATTGTTATCTAACAAAAGTGATTTCAGGTTTAAGAAAAAAGGGCCCAGGACATCATTCTCTAGATGAATATGCTTACCTAATTTTAAAAATACAGAACTAAATATTTCTATTTTAAAATGGAAGAAAAAAAATTACATATTAATAAAAATAGAGTAATCAAAATTATAATTTAGAAGAAAAAAAAAAGGCTAAAATTAAGTTCAATCTAGAGAAATTAATGGAATAGTTGAGCCGTGGAGTGGTATTTCCCTCAGCCGTAGCTGAACACGGAAGACACAAACACAACAGAACTGAACTTCTACCCGCCATGACGAAACCACCACCCATTGGGTTGCGCTTCCTCCAACCACCATCGCTTTCCCCTTTTCCCATATCGTGCGTTTCTCTCTCTCACTCTCCTCAATTGCATCCATTTTCTTCCCCACTCACACTCCACCATATTCGCCATTGCAGCTTCAATTTCCCAACGACTCAGCTTCCCAGAATCTACTGCAATTACTCCTCTTTTGAAGTATGCCCTTGTCCACTAGCTTTTACTTCACTGTCTCCATTGTTAAACATAAAAATTCTCTTAGCGTGTGTTTGGCTTTGGTAAAGAACTAGAAGCGATGAAAATTAGCTATTTCGTTTGGTTGAAAGCATATAGGATAAACGAATCTCGACTTAAATCACTCACCAAACGCTTTAAAATCAATTTTAACCGAATCAATCTTGCATTACCAATTTAATTCAAAATCGGTTTTGCGGATATTTACCCTAACACACGCTTAAAGTGTCCATTGATTTTGATTTTGCTTTCACGTTTAGCCGCTTTCATAATTGCTTTGGGTTTCTTAAATGTGCATAAATTGGGATGTTACTTTTGAAATTGCAGGAATGTATGTACTAAAGAACTGTGATATTTTTTGCTTAAGGTTAGAGATGTTAGCTATCAACCACCAGGGACTCAGCTTAGGCTTCTAAATTCAGTTAGTTTTTCACTTCCAGAGAAAAGGTACTTCTGCGCGCCTTTATTTCATTGTATTTATGACTTCAATGTTGAGATGATTATCCTGCCCATGAATTTTGTTAATAATGTATCTTCCTAGTTCTTTTTAGTATATCTGTGGCAGCTTATTTATGTCTTTGCCACAGTTTAGGTCTAATTTTCGGACAGAGTGGTAGCGGAAAAACAACTCTCTTGCAGGTCTTACTTTTTATCCTTCTAGTGGTAGAAGAGATGATTGTTCTTGACCATTTGTGCATGATGTATCTTGTTGAATAATCATTATTGCTCATCAAATTGGCTCGCATTTCTCTGTTTAGCTTCTTGCAGGAATAAGCAAACCAACCTCTGGATCTATTTGCATCCAGAAGTACGGCAATGATGGAAATCCTAGCGAACCTCCAGAGCCCTTGGTGCCGGAAAGGGTTGGTATTGTCTTCCAATTTCCTGAGAGGTATGAATATAAACTAATTGGATATAGTTAGGAGATTTTGTTACTCTCTGGCATGCATTTGGTGTAATCTTTTGTTGTAAATCTTGACCTACACATCAACTATGTTATTTGACTCTTGGGATCCCTGCAAATTTCATGTGGCTCCGATCCAAGAAGAATAGACATGGAAACAGGAAGCAGTGCAGCGTATACATGAATGTGTTGCAGACCAAATTCCCAATAATAAGTCTGTACACACATTAATATTATACATTAGTTAAATATCAACCAATATGTTAAGTTGTGTACCAACTACCAAAATGGTTTTTGTTGTATTGATGAATACATATCCCTGTGGAAACTGCTCTTGTGTTTTTGGTGAAGTGATTGTGCCTTCAGAGTTTTTTTTTCAATTTCTGTTGATTATTTTGAGGATTAAGGATCAAAGAGGGACTTGTTTTCTGATTTCAAGAAAAGTTTCTGTCTTCCTTTGTTATGAGATAGATGCATTTTCAAGCTTCTTGGTTGGTCTAATTTGCATGGATTTTTGCATGATTTTTTTTGTCATATTTGCAGAGGGATTGGAGAACCCTTCATTTATGTATCTTCTTTGTTGTTTTTCTACCTCCATTGTTCTTCTCTAATCTGTTATGGAGAATTTCTTATCATCTATATTTCTATACTTTCTTGTTTTTCAAAATGGGTTGTCCAATACATGAGCTCCAACCATCATAAGGCCTTACTCAACTCCACAAAATCGAATGAAGTCCCCAAAAGAGGCCACAATTAAGATAACTTTCCAACACACTCTGTCATGCCTAGGCTATGGGCCTAGAGTGTAACAATGCATTTGCCCAAGCCCAATAATGGACCTGTTAAAAAGAGAGAAACAAATATTTTCTGAATATGCTTGACTGATCTTTCCACCCTGCAGAATGGATTTGTTTATAATTATATACAAGGGAATTACAAAGATAATTAATGCCAAAACAATTTACTAGAATTAAGATACTACTACTTGCTATGATGCATTGAACCTAGCTATACCAAGAATCTAGGTAACTTTGAAAAAATAAACATCAAAGGAGTTCCTATCTCATAAAATATTCTTATTTCCAATAGGATACATGATAGGTTCTGAACTCTGAAACCATCTTAGAATTTGGACTTAAGGGCTAATTCAACCTCACTAAACCGGTTTGTACAATGAGATTCGCCCAAGCCTTATAAGCTCTATGTGAGTCATATCTCTAGGTGATGTAGGATTAAACATAGCTTCTTGAGGCTGCAATTTAGGCAACCCTCAAAGAGGCTGCAATTAACGTGGACTAGGGGTAACAACAATTAAAGCAACTTTCCAACACTTCCTAATAACATATTTTTTTTGTTGATACAGAAAAATCTGTTATATCATTGTGACATGAAAGTAAGAGATTTATGCAAATCTGTTTTTCAGGCACTTGTCCAACAACAGTCAGCAATACAGTACCTTTAGTAGGATTAGAGATAACTTTCATCTATCATTAGTTTCTTTGTTCTAATTGAAATATTTTGAACTTAGAAGGATAACTCTTTTGATCGTATTATCAAAATATTTGTGGCAGTACATTGTTTAAATACCTTTCATATAGCTCATGACACTAAATTGAACCTTTTCTGATCCTTTAGTCCAAGTGGTTTGTTGTTATAGTTTAAGGCATTTGTAAATCTTGTTTGATCATTTTTCGTTTTTATTGGATTGTCATTTCTAAAGTTCTACATATATTGGTGTTTCAACCTAGGTATTTTGTGGCTGATAATGTGCTTGATGAAGTCACTTTTGGGTGGCCAAGGCAAAAGGGTAACCATTACCTGAGGGAGAATCTTGCTCTAGGGCTACAGAGGGCAATTAACTGGGTAGTTATGCCTCTGTATACCACCAAGTGTCTTCTTATACTTTATATATAACTTTATCTTTTATATTTTTATTTAATTTAATATATTATTTAAAATTTTCTTCTCTTATAATGTATTTATATATTTCATGTGCAATGCTCTTACTTATATATCAATATAGGTTGGGTTAAGTGGGATATCATTGGATAAAAATCCTCACTCCCTCAGTGGTGGTTACAAACGTCGTCTTGCCTTGGCAATACAATTAGTAAGATGTTTTTTTTTAATGCCTGCTTGTTATTGCTTCATGCCTTCACATGCTGGCTCCTCAATAGTTATGGATGCATTCTCATTTACTAAATTTAGTTGTCAATCAACCAATCATCAATTGGCATATTGTTAATTGTTTTTCCAAATGTACTTTTCAGGTGCAAACCCCTGATCTATTGATATTGGATGAACCACTTGCTGGACTTGGTATAAAAATGCAACCTCTAACTTCTTGATTCTATTTGCAGTTTGCTATTGCACCCAATGAACTTGTTGATTCCTTCCCATTCAAGTCTTAAATTAAATCTTATTAAAATCCTTCTTTTGCTACAATTTTTCTCTTTTACAAACCTTTTCTTTTGTAATGTAATTGTTGTTAGGGAGAGAGCCTTTGCACAACATTTAAGTCGTTGCCTTGTGACTTGGGGATCACAGATTCAAATCCTGTGATCAATCAACGGGGCTAAGACTACATTCATTTATCCTCTCAGATCCCAAGGGGTGGGAGCCTCATGCATAGAGTTATCCTTTTAGGAGGTGTTTGGTATGCAAAATGTTTTTACTTTTCAAGGAATCTAAAGTTGAGAATGTTCATTTTCTCCGTTTGGTTTATCATCTAAAAAATAACATTCCTAGGAAACATGGTTTTCTGGAAATTCTTTTTAGACAAGTTTCCCACCAAATTGTTTCCATGGGGGTAGGTGGGAATCTAACATTCCTGGGTTAAAAATAATGTTCTGCTCTTGTAAAAATGTTACGTTATCTTAATTTACTTAGTTAATGTAGTAAATTTTTTTGATTCTCAAGTAACATTTATAAACGTTCCCAAAAACATTTATGACCAACCAAATAGATTAAATCATTCTTGGGAATCATGATTCATAGGATTTATGATTCTTGGAAACCATGATTCTCGAACATGAAAAAATTTCTCTTCTACCAAATCTCCCCTTAATGTAATTTATTTAAGGATTCTTATACACTTTGTTCAGTAGAGCAAGAGATAGACCAGAAATTAGGGAGAGAGCAAACAACAGAGCTTAAAATAAAAATTTGTTCTGTTTGGTTCATGTGAGAAAGAAAGGAAAGCAGAGAAATTAGAGTGGGCTCCACATATTTATTTTTGTTGGTGAAGGGTGTGGAAATTGCAACAAAATTGTGTTGCCCGTGAATAATAGAAGACAAGTTCCAAATATATCCATCTAATCTGTTGATTTTCTTGATTTTTCGCTGACATGGGTAAGTATTAATTGATTTTAGATAGATTAATCGATCACATACGGTTTTTGTTCTATTAACAGCGGAGATAATCAGTTACGCAGGGAATAATCGATTATCTATTGTTTTTAATATTTCCAATTATCAAATTAGCTTTAATCGATTGTTGTGTTGATTCTAATTGATTAGATGTTCATTTTAATTGATTAAAACTTCCTTTTAATTGATTATAGATTCATTTTAACTGATTATAACTTCCTTTTAATATTATAGGTTCATTTGTGTTGATTATAACTTACTTTTAATCAACTGCATGTTCATTCTAATTGATTATCACTTGAAATTAATCAATTGTGATTTAATTTAAACAGTTTGCATTTCATTTTAATTGAATTTGGTTTCACTTTAATTGATTTTTTATTTCATTTTAATTTAATTATGCATGCATGTGTCCTTTTCATATACACATACTTGATTTTGTCTCTTTAATGGTTATATATTTAATTAAATAGTAGGTAGAATGTGCAGTTAATTGATCATGTGCTAAAAACCTTTATATTTTGCAATCCCCAACATTTCTATGGAGTTGATTAATTATTTTTTACAATCGATTAAATTATAACCTATACTTGCTGCATTTGTATTAATCGATTATATTTATGGTGTAGTCAATTAAATGCATATCATCATGTTAGTCTGTTATATATAAGGGCATAATAGGTATTATTAGTGGAGTTTTACTCTGTAATCTGTGTGTATTATCACTGTATTTAAAGTTGTTTCTTTGGGTCTGTCATTATCGTGATAGCTGTACTCTGTAACTAACTCTTGGTTACAATTAATTAGTCCTTTGGGTTCTTTTCTTGTACGGCTATATATAGCTGATTTCTTATCATTTGTAAGTGATTAATTCATTTTCTCAGAATATTAAGTTTTCTTTCTTGCATTTTTCTCTCTGCAACCTAATAGGTATTTACATTATATTATAACTTCTTTTTTTGTCCTTCCTTCCAAACCAAACAACTTCAAAATATTTCTCTTCAATTTTCCTTTTACTTCTTTTAAACCGAACAACCCAAAAATTCTACCTTATATCCTACCTATTTTCATGATTTCATCTGCTCTATTTTTATCTTCCCTACCAAACAAAGTGATAGTTGTATGAGTCTTCATTATGTTAGTAGTGGTATTGGGCTAGGCTTGTAAACACTAGTACTTGTCCTAGATAAATAGTAGAAGTTGTTTTCCAGAATTTTTCTTATTCAAAATTATTACACTGATGAATATATAGGCGAGACATGGCAACAAGTTCCTTACACAAACCTGCCACTCATTACCCTTAACTTTGGCACTAAATCTCTTATCTCCTTAACTTTGGGAAAAAGCCTTCCTAGTCCCTTTATTTAAAAGTTGACTAAACAAATTATGGCAACAGAATAAAATCAGCAAACTACAATTAGTCAAAAACTACAACAATAGGATTATCCCACCAAGTGAAGTTAGCTATAGGGATCACATGATGCCATTAGGCTTGGTCAAAAACCAAATTCTCAAGGATATGATTCGCCATGAGATCCCTTTTTAATAATTTCTTCCATTGTCCTTGGTTTCTCTTTACCCCTTTTTATAGGGTTAGAAACCGTGTGATGTATGCTCATCATTGTTGCCTCCAATGGTTACAAGGTTAGAAACCGTGTGATGTACGCTCAACATTGGTGCCTCCAATGATCTTTGCACATGTCCAAACCACCTTAACCAATTTTTTTATCATTTTTTTTTACCTTGAGAGGTGTCATAGCAATATCTTCTCATATGCAATCATTTCATATCTTGTCCTTTCTTGTGTGGCCACACATCTATCCTAGAATCAATCAGCAGACTACAATTAATAAAAAATAAAATTGGAGTTCGATAATAGATAAGTTAGTGATTTGTATCACATAACATATAATCACATTAATAATGTGTTAGGCACTCCTATGCTAGATCACATGGAAACTATGAATAATGAGCACAATAGTGATTTGGTATTGTGATATATTTTTTTAGGACTATCACTTGTTTATGTTTTTTCTTTTACTTTTGGCAAATGCTTTGGCCGCCGGTTAAGGCAACAAAAGTAGAAAAGTTTTATTAGAAAAAGAAGCATTTGCTGTTTGGAAATGCAAAAGTCATCTGACACTTGCTGTTTAGGTAAACAAAACCATTTTATGGGATATATTTAATGGTTTTCAACCAGTTCCCTTATGAAACTCTTTAGCAAAACCCTTTACTTTTATTTTGATTTTAACAAAGTAGATTTAAGAGGTAGTGTGAGGAGGGTAGGGTAAGGTAGAGTTGGGGCCAAGTGACATCAATGGAATATGATCATGTGATCAAGCCACTTGAGCCAAGGCTTGGGGGCATGTTTATAGTTATTTTAATTTGAAGGATGTGAATCTTAATTCTTCGAGAAATATATCTTTTTTTTTTAATTAGCTACACTTTTTTTAAGCTGTATCTAATACTTTTCCATTGATCAGATTGGAAAGCACGTGCAGATGTTGTGAAGCTCCTGAAGTATCTGAAAAAGGAATTAACTGTGCTAGTTGTTAGCCATGATTTGAGGTTGCTCCAATTTATTAGTTTTGTTTATCTGGCTTTTAATCATAATTGATGTTCAAGGATGGGTTTTTCTTTTGCTTAATTGATGATTTGCATTGGCAATTGCCATTTAGAATTCTAACTTTGATTGTTACAAAGACATTGGTGAGCTTCAAAATGATGTTGATATATTGATGGATAAACATGTGCTGATATTTACATGACTTCTGCATATCAAGGTAGATGCTTGGTTTTATGTAGGTAACTAACATGCGGAGGTTATTAGTTTGTGAACATCATGAACTCAAAAGAGTCACAGTTTGGTGATATTTAAATAGTTTGATTTGGTAGCCACTAAATGGAATCTTGAGCTTTTTCTACTTTGTGGTTCTGTTTAATCATGTGGGGGTTGTGATTAGAAATTCTTGATGTGACTTTAGGGTGTAATTCATGATATTTGGGTATTATAAGATTGTGCTTGAAGAAAATACAAATGCCTTGATGGTTGGATAGGTTTTTTTCTACATATTTTCACTTCTTTTAGACACATTTTTTCTTCTATCCTCTTAGAATTTTGGCTTATGGTCTAACTCAACTTCATAAAATTGATTTGTAAGGTGAGGATTGTTCAAGCCTTCTAAGCACCATGTGTGCCATATCTCTTGGTGATTTAAGCTTAAGCCCTAAACCCTCACACCCAGCACAATGAAGGTGCCAGAGGCTGCAATGAAGGCAGACCACAGAGGCCACAATTAAGATGGGCAAGGGGTGGCTGCAATTAGGCAACTTACCAAAGTATCTGTTAGTTGTCTTGAGATCAGGAATTTAGTTTGGATTACTGATTACTGATAGACTTGAAAAGGTTTAGGATAGGATGCTCGTATACAGACATGGAATGCAAATATAACACAACATTGATAGAGACAACAAATTATAGAAGTTGTAGGATGTGACATAAGTAAGAATGTAAGATACAGTTATCAAATATAATATTAACTTTACAATCTTGTGGACAAATGGGGATTTGTGTCATGGGCAGTTCAAATGGGCCAAACATTTTGCGATGCCTCATGATTTCACCAAAAAAATAAATATATAGTATTAACCTAAAAACACAAATCTTAAGTTGGAACAGACAAGGAATGACTAATGTGTTTACTAGATATCACCTTGTTAATTGGGAGACCTGCTGTAGACCTAAAAAGTGAGGTTTGGGGCTTGGAAGTTTGGATTCCAAAATCATTGCTTTAGTGAATGTCTGGTTGAAGTTGTTTTAGAGAAATGATTACTTATTTTTGTCTACTTGGAGAGATTTTCAAAAATAAGCAATTATTTCTCCAAAATTAATCTAAATCAAACATGCAGTGCTAAATGTTTGTTTGCTTTTTCGTTTATAGACTACTTCTTTATGACATGAGATTATCCAAAGTATGGTTTGCATTCAAATGAGTGGGGTGACAATTCAGCAGTTGAACCTAGCATGCTAGCAATTGGAAATTTTCTATGCTTCTTTCAAATTGCTTATTTCCTTGGGTTTGGGTGATGGTTCCCATATAAAATTTTGGACCTTTGGGTGGGTAATATTCCTGTTTCTAATGCTCCCTAGACTTTTTTATCTCTCTAATTTGCACAATGCTCATAAATAATCCAGTTTTATTCTTCATCTCTTACTACTGTTTCCTGGAATTTTATTTCTCATGGTAGGGAATTCACTGAATTATTCTCTTTTGGTGTTGCTGAATAATCAATCTCCGTTCTGTTCTAGATAAGAGAGATTCCTTGTATGATCCACACATCCTTAGTTTCTTAACTAACAGAAATCAGAGCAGAGAGAGAAATATTGAAACTGAATACTGTGTTATTGAGAATGAATTGTAATCTGAAGATTACAATAGAAGAGTAACTATATATAGTTAGTTGCTGAAGAGTACATAACACACCTTAGGGTTTTGTATGTGTACTAAGGAAGCTACATAACAGAATAGTAACAACCTAACAAGCTAATGAAAAGAATACAATACAGCAAGCTCAACATAAGAGCTTGTGCACCCTACTACAGTAATACCAAAAATGATATACTAATGTATTCTAACATTAAGGATTTCTTGTCCTTACATTTGTACCTCTATCATAATAAATTCTGTTTGTCAAAAGAGAAGTTTTTGTTTCTGTTTTCTATCCCAATACTTTGTGACCTACTAATTTTACTTATGGAGATTTTTATGTGCATTTCAGAGAGTTTGCAAGTCTAGTTGACCGATCATGGAGAATGGAAATGGGCGGCAACCTTAGAGAGGAATTTCTGCAATTATGATTTATGTTCATTGCCTTGTTAATCAGCATTAGATGCTATGAGGTTTGAAAACTTTGATCTTCAATTGCTTGATATATTTTCTACTGCACCTTGGATGCTTAGACTGGAAAATTTTAAAAGAAAAAGCAAGAAACTGTACTTTAGCAGCTGTTAGAGATATAAAATACACTATTCTTAGGCGATTAATAACTAAGCTTTCCAGACATTTAGTCTTTGTAATGGTCTCATGGCCTCTATGACTGACAAGTAGTGGGGTAATTTAGTCACGAGTTTAATTCTTGTTACTCCCATTTTTCATAGTCAAGTTACAATATCAGCATTTGCCTATGCTTTACCTAGTTTCAAGCCGAAGGCCTTTGAGTGGGGTAATTTTAGAGATATAATTGTTTAATATGCATATAAGAATCTGTGCGAGTAAGATAACTATATATTAATCTCTCCGGTTTTTATTATAACTTATAAGCCACTTTTAACCAAATTACATCGGCTAATATAAGTAGTTATATTAGTTGATTTTGATGGGTTTATAAAACGAAATCATGAAGCATATATTCTCACAATATTTAATAGGGCAAAAGAAGAAATATAAAATGAATGTTTTACAGAGATTGTAAAGTGCCTTATAAAAAGGACAATTTCCTTATAATTTGTGTCTAATAATATAGACTGGAGGGAGTATCATTTTAAAAATAAATTATGCTGCTTTTATTTTAACCAGACACCTATACAATCTTGTCATTAGGTCTATCGGAGGGTCACTTGCATTGTCTCTTAAACCCTTGTGAGGAGGGAGTTTATATTGACCTAACAGATCCTGGAAATCCATTCTGGTGGTTAATGATGCATATCTTTTGTTGTGGGCTATTTGTTCATTTTCATTTGTGTTCTACTCTTCTATTTTATTTTATTTTGGCAAAGGCTCTACTCTTCTTTGATACAGGCAAAGTAGCAGAATTAATTCATTCACCTTAATCAAGTTCAACAGCGGACATAATTTGTGCAGACTTCTGTAACAAACTCATTAATTAGGCTTTGTCTTACTTCAGTTGTGAAACAAGAAGCATCCTCAAAAAAATTTAAAAAACTACTAAAAGCAAATCAAACACGTTTATTTATTAGGAATTGCACAAAACTCACAACTGTATTCAATGCATTATCATCACTCTAAGTACAAGCATAGCATGATCATAATATCAATACTAGTTTGAGAAGTCTCTCTTATAGAGGCTTAATTCATCACCACTTTAGTACAGCTTAAGTTTCTACAGCTCCAGCACCAAATCTACAATGTCAAAAATTATTAATTAGTAATAATACATAAATACAATCTAATTATAATTTAGTCCTGCTTATATTATGATACTTCATGATATATTATTTGTACTGAAATCTAGAAACCTGCTGACGATTATTTTGAGATTGGTGTTATGTTACATTCTTATAAAAACATATTTTACTCGATACTTATTGGCAGGGTGTTTGGGTATAATTTGTAAGATTTTGTAAGGCCAGTATTAAAGGCAGTGGGAAAGAAGAATTATGCTACAACATTTCTATCTTTATAAGTATCTAAGTGCAAGAAGTTGTAACCTAATCTGTATTTCTGTTATGTAAATAATTCTTAGATACAGGAATTGGTATTAATGCTGAAAATATTCAGTTAGTGGAGGACAAACTGCAGAAAAATGCTGCAGAAGAGAATACAATCATAGCTGATGCACAAACTCTTCCCTCCCTGCCTCAAGCAACCAAATTATTTCTCACCCCCTTCTTATTTAACAGTTTCCTTTTCTCTCGTTGTTGCACAATAATACTCAACACTCCTTGGTCCAACACTCTTATCCGCCCTCTTGTTTTTTTCTTGTCTTGTATACATGTGTCAATGGCCCATCATAAGATCAACATGTCATTCCTTTATTTTGTAAATTTTTAGTTTTGTACTATTCTATGTTGTTGAGATAAGACTTTTTATGAATACTGTTAAATTTATGGGATTTTTCTTTATTTAAATTTTGAATTTTGAATAAATTTTAGATAGGATATTTGTTATTGTTACAGTTTTATCTTTTATATTTTTGTTTTCACTTATTCAATATAATCTCAACAAATAGAGTTGTTAATAGATGAGATTTGTCAGGAATTTTAAATTGATTGTAAGCTTATACAAAGACATCCTCTTCTATGAATTTTTAATGGTAATTTTAATCATAATTTTTCATCTTCAATTTTAATTTCAATTTGTCTACAAGATTCAATTTTTCTACATTTTTCACAAAATATTTCCAATAGTGGTATCAAGAGCTTGCTTCGTATAGGCTGTGAGGAAAACTTTTATTGAGCACTAAACACAATGAGGTTGAATGTTAAATTGAGTGATTTATTGTTCAAACAATTTTTGGTGCAAGGATGTCTACTTCCACCAATTCACTTGCAATTCCAATGTTTAAAGGTAAAAATTATCATATTTGAGCATTAAAATGACATTTGTTTTAAAATCTTAAGGTTTATGGAACGTTGTAATTTTTTAAGCTGATCCACCACCATTGAGAAAAAATCCAACCATTGCACAAATCAAAGCTCATGAGGAGCAGAAGTTGAAGAAAGATAAAGCCAATACTTGCATGCATGCAGGACTTGCAGATTATATTTTTACTAAAATCATGGACTTGGAAACAGCTAAACAAGTGTGGGACAAGATTCAAGATGAATTTGAAGTTAGTAGCAGAGTCAAATCTATTAGGCTTCTTAAATTGAAGAGAGAATTTGAATTGATGAAGATGAAGGATAATAAATCTGTCAAAGATTATTCTAGCAGGTTAATGGATGTTGTGAACCAAATGTGACTTCTTGGTGAAATATCATTTACAGATCAAAAGGTTGTTGAAAAAATCATGGTTTCGATGCCTAAAAGATTTGAAGCCAAGATTTTTGTAATTGAAGAGTCTTGTAATCTGCAAACACTCACAATTACTGAATTGACCAGCAAGTTTCACGCACAAAAGCAAAGAGTCTCCATTAGAAGTGATGAAGCTATTGAAGGTGTCTTTCGAGCAAAGCACAATGGAAGGAATTTTGGAAAGTCACAAACTTTCAATAAGAACAAAGGAAAAATTGAAGGTTCTTCAAGAAAAGGAAATTTTTTTGCGTTATTCTCATTGCCAAAGAACCAACCACGCTAAAAAAGATTGTTAGTTTAAAGATAAACCTCTTTTTCACTGTAATTTTGGCAATAAAAATGGCCAAAGTGAAAAGGTATCTTAGATTAAAGAAGAATCAGCCTAAACAACAACTAGAAAAATAGGCAAATGTGATTAAAGAAAAAAATGATGATGAAGATGAATATTTATTTATGGCATCTCAAGAATTCAATTCAGATGAATTGAATACTTGACTCATTGACAATGGTTGCACTAGTCACATGACTAAATGTTTGTCATTTTTTACCTCCATTGACAAATCAATTGAATCGAAAGTCAAGATGAAAAATGGTGAAATTGTCCAAGCCAATGGAAAAGGAACAATTTCTATTTCAGCCAAGAAAGGTTTGATAATTGTCAAAGATGTTTTTTACATTCCAGAATTGGATCAAATCTATTAGGCTTCTCACATTGAAGAGAGAATTTGAATTGATAAAGATGAAGGATAATGAATCTGTCAAAGATTATTCTGGTAGGTTAATGGATGTTGTGAACCAAATGCAACTTCTTGGTGAAACATCATTTACAGATGGGAAAGGTTGTAAAAAAAAATCATGGTTTTAGTGCCTAAAAGATTTGAAGCCAAGATTTCTGCAATTGAAGAGTCTTATGATTTGCAAACTCTCACAATTACTGAATTGACCAACAAGTTCCACACACAAGAGCAAAGAGTCTCCATTAGAAGTGATGAAGTCATTGAAGGTGTCTTTTGACCAAAACACAGTGGAAGGAATTTTGGAAAGTCACGAACTTTCAATAAGAACAAAGGAAAAGTTAAAAGATTCTTCGAGAAAAGAATTTTTTTTTTTTTTTGCTTATTCTCATTGCCAAAGAACCATGTTAAAAAAGATTGTCAGTTTAAAGATAAACTTCTTTTTCATTGTAATTTTTGCAATAAAAATGGCCACAGTGAAAAAGTATTGCAGATTAAAGAAGAATCAATTTGAACAACTAGAAAAATAGGCAAATGTGATTGAAGAAAAAAATGATAATGAAGATGAGTATTTATTTATGACATCTCAAGAATTCAATTCACATGAATTAAATACTTGGCTCATTGACAATGGTTGCACTAATCACATGACTAAATGTTTATCATTTTTTACTTCCATTAACAAATCAATTGAATTGAAAGTCTAAGATGGGAAATGGTGAAATTGTGCAAGCCAATGGAAAAGGAACAATTTCTATTTCAACCAAGAAAGTATGATAATTGTTAAAGATGTTTTTTACATTCCAGAATTGGATCAAAATCGTCTTAGTGTTCCACAAATGCTAAGGAATAGATATAGAGTCTCTTTTAAAGAGAATTATTGTTTTATCATGGATGAACATGGTTTAGAGATTGCAAAGATTGAGATGACTAAAAACAACTTTTATTTGAAATTTGATTTAGTTGAAGATCATGATTTTATTGTTAAAATTGATGAGAGTAATGTTTGACATGGAAGATTTGATTACACTTTTATGCGAGATGTATTTGATATAACAAATCCCAACAAATGGTATTTAAAGACCGAATGACTATGAAGACAATGATTTGGGCCAACAAATTGATGTGCAACAACTTGATGACATGGCACTTTAGAAATCAAGTTTTGGAGTTCATAACTAAAATTTGTGATGCTCATGGCAAATCTCAAGGAATGTTAGATTTATGAGATTTTTCTTTATTTAAATTTTGAATTTTGAATAAATTTTAGATAGGATATTTGTTATTGTTATAGTGTTATTTTTATATTTTTGTTTTCAGTTATTCAATATAATATCAACAAATAGAGTTGTTAGCAGATAAGATTTGTTAGGAATTTTAAATTGATTGAAAACCTATACATAGGCATCCTCTTCTATGAACTTTTGATGGTATTTTAATCATAATTTTTCATCTTCAATTTTAATTTCAATTTGACTGCAAGATCTAATTTTCCTACATTTTTCACATAATATTTCCAACAAATACTTAAAATTATGCTAATGGAAGATATTTATCGAACTTGTGTAACTATGTGTGTGGAAGGAACTGCATCATAAAAATATGTAGTACTTACACTCTGCATCTGTTTTAATCCAGTGCTCATTGTTTCCAGTTGAGCTACTGCAAATTAGCCCAGGCTGTGGTGGGTTCCAGTTGGTCTTATAGTGTTGGGACCACTTTCTTGATTTGGTATCTGATTGAAATCTTTTGCCTTTTTCTGGGTTTGTGGAGTTTTCATTATTATATTCATGGAAGGATTCAGGAGGAAGATTTTTTATCTCACCTTTGTCGGATTTAATGAAATCTTTTCCATTTATGAGGCTTTCAGGATAGACTTTTCTGTTAAACATTCGTAGAACCTGCATATCCACAGATGAATGGACCAAATAATTAGTTATAACATGATAGTTTTATTCAGTATATTTTCAAGACATTTGTATTGAAATTGTAAGATTTTTTTATGGCTAAACTTGTTCTGGCACTTTTCAGACCAGGAGTGACATTTAACACGTTACTTTCTGGCCTGATTTCATTTTAAATGCTGATGGGAATCCCTTCAGCCAATGTTCTTCAGATATGCTTTACAAATTTTAAATGTTGGGATATTGGTTTTCTTTAGATTCTCCTTTATGTACTGTGTTCTACTTTATTCTAGATGGAAACAAGAAACCAATAAATTTATGCTATTATCTTATTGATAATTTTTGGCCAATAAATCTGAGCATGAGATGATTCTCACAATCTGGTTTGTATAGGGTGTTTGATTTCATCCTTTTTTACGTTATTTCTAGTGTGATTAAAGAAATGAACATGCGTGTCAATTTTCATTGATATGTTGCTAAGATGATAAGACAATAACCAAAGGTAATGAGTGATAGAACAACCATGGGATTTGTTGTGAAATGTGGTTCAGAAGATCTAGTAATAGAGACCAACCTTTTGGAGTTTTTTATTGGTTGAAGCAGACTCAGCATCATTCCTGGAACTGTAGCAGCTTTTTGAAGAACTGTGATCCGTTTTAAGTATCTTTCTAATAATACGCATGGCAGCTGACTTAGGTGTTTGCTTGACCTGTGTCTCTTTTCTTACTCCTGTCTCTGTACAATCTTGACTTGCTGCCTTTGTCTTATAAAGTAGCTCAGAAAGTGATGCTCTCTCTTTCCTTACTTGTGTTGTTTCTGGTAGTTCAAATGAGGACCCCAGTAAATATCCTTGCAGTGGACATACAACTTTATTTCTGTAATCTTCAGCTTTGGATCCATCTATTTCCTTTCCACCAAGTGTGATGGTGCTAACATAGCTGTTTCTTCCTGATGAATCATAGAGACTTTCTTCTTTTTCAGCCTCAAGAAATGTCTCAAGCGCATAACTTATGTGACTCAATTCATTTTCTGTCACCACTTCATTTCTCATTGTTATGTTTTCCGAAGGCATTGCAAATGTTGGTGTTCCAGGCTCATTGGTGACTGTTTCTGCTCCAAGAGTTCCAATTGTTAGAAAACCTTCAAAGAGATCAGAGATGATTTCAGGTGTTTCTTCTTGGCACTTATCTTCTCTGCTGTTAACCAATCCAGAATAAGATGTTTGACTTTCCTGATGGTGTGGCTTTGAGAAACTGGGTTGATTTATGGAGCTGAAGCTTGGCTTTGTCTGGGAGCATTGATTGTCAAGTGTTGGTTGCACTGTAAGGCAAGTACAAGGGTTTCCTGAAATTCGAGTCCAAAAGAAATTACTAAACTGGTGAAATTAGCAATCTATCATCTACATAAATTGGAGAAACTTTGATTTCTTTCTATTTGTTTTACTTTCCTTGTACTCTGGAAACAGCAAAACGGAACATGAGATAAGAAAGGATAATAATCAGATGAATTAAATGTGGACAAGGGTCCTTGAAAGTGATAAAAGTGCAATTTTTTTATCTGCAGTAGGTTAGTGGTTGCTACCAACCTGATAAAACGGGAAGCAGATGTTTCGAGCACAGTAGTGCTCTTTGTCTGTTTAAAAAGCCTAGTTTTACTCTAGCCATAGTCTTTTAGCATTTTGGTTAGATTATTATTCAGACTCTAGAGCTTAGAAAAATCAATATAATACACATATTGTGCTATTTCATTGATGGACAGTAGCCAGTTAGTCACACAATTAGTTGTGTCTAGGTGTGACTGATTACTGATGGCAGTTTTTAGCCTTCACTGAATGCCTTAAAGACCATTTACATTGCTAACATTCTGTTCCCCTTTCATTCACTCCCATTAAGAAAAAGAAAGGAAAAAATGGATTATACGAGATAAGATATTAAGGACAGCTCAATACCAAGTGTGAAATCCTTGAAAGGATCTATACTATTCTGCCGAAGTTTTCGATGCACCCATTGAAATAACTGCAATAAGGAAAGGCAGGGATGAAGATGAAGGACTGGAAGAAAATTTTCATTGTCAATGGGAAAAGTCTAGACTCACCTTCATTATGATCTCTTTTCTTGTTTGAAAACCAAGTATTTCTTAGTTAACAAATTATGCTTGGTAGATATATATATATGTGCAAGGTAAAAGATCTCTAGGATTGGGAGGTTAGATAGATAAAGTGAAAAGGCAAAATACCTTTTTTTTGTGATTCATTATGAGTTGTAATTAGATTTATGCTAGAAGAGTCTAAGTTAGTTGTGTGCATAGAGAAAAACAATTAGATAGATACAACACCGTGGTTGGCTATTCTTTTCAAAATCTAATCACGAGGGTGAATTGGGTGTGAAATAGGTACCAAGAAAGTGCTGTTTGTCTGTATTTTTGTCTCTGTATGAACGTACATGAAGTTGGATCACTCACGGATGTAAATACATAATCTTTGATCCCAGACACTGTCAATTTTGAATGATGAAGCTAAGGCACTCTTAACTGTTGATCAGAAAAATATACTTTGTTATGGTTACAAATGTACCTAATAATGTACTATTATCCATTAGGGGATCACAGAAGTAATTACTGAAATTCTAAATTTGCAGATGTTGGACGCTCTTTTGGTGAATGCTATTGTTGGAAAGATGTTTAATTCAAAAAGAGGAGGGATCCACTTATTCCTAGAATAAATTTACCTAAACTTCATTCAGTAACTCATGTTATATATCAAATTTTAACAATTTAATCGTTGAATTAAAAAATTTTAATGCATAGATTAAGTTTACATATTTAAAAAAAAATATGTAAAACATGAGTTATTGAATAGAATAAGTCTAAGTAGACTTACTCTTTTAGTAAGTGGATCACTCCTAAAATGGTTCATACTTTCTGCTCTTTGTTTGTGCAGAGTGCAAACCTTATTTCTTTAAGTATTAGCTGTAAACTGATGTAGTTTTTCCATGTTTAACTTATGAAGTCCGTAGTCCCGGTGTATTGAATTGTCTGACACTGTTATGTGAACCTTGAGAACTTACTAAGACACATCTAATGTTAGAAATAGAATGGACTTCATTATTTGCAAGACTAAGGTGCAAAGTTTCTGGATGTACTTAAAGCATTAAAAAAACCTTTGTGATGGATGTGCCTGAAAAGCTTTTTGCTAATATACTGATGTGACTACCACTACTATCACTATCATCATCGTCATTATTATTATTATTATTATTATTATCATTATTATTACTACTACGTGCATATATAGATAGGAGGTGCAAGTACCTGGATAAAGAAAGGAGGGCAGGGGAGGAGGGGGAAGTGTAAATGGTCAAGATCAAACTTCAATCATTATCGCATGACCAATGCCAACCGAGTTAAAAGCTCTTCGACTAATTATGTTAATTTTGGATTGTTATAAATTTTGTTTGTGATGTCTAACTGGTAATTGTAGATATAACTCTTCTACCTTTCTAGTTCCTCACACATCCACAGAAGCACTTTGTTGACTGATTAAAAATGGCGTTTAGTCTTCTTGGTAAGGAAAAATAGCGTTTGTGTTTGCCATGTGATTTTAAGAGATCATGGATTTAGTCCTCCTCCCATTGCACTTTTACATTTGGGAACATTGTCATAGAAGGGATGTTAACCCCTTACCCGGCACGTTGTTTGATATGACTCGACGACTAGCATCTTTCAAAATCAAGGAGCACTTCCCGTTTGATGTTATCCGTAGTTCAATCTCATAGAATTATATCTGAGTCATTTTTCTTTGTAATCACGCCTTCTGAACTGCCTTTATTGCTGTACAGCATGTTGCAGGAGATAATTGCTGTTCCTGAAAGTTCAACATCATGCCTGGAAAGCGATGGAGATATCCCCAGGGGAAAACTGTAGTAAATTCAGGCGTGAACACTATTAAGCAATGTTCATTTATAAACTATAAGTGCACGTGCTGCAATAAGTGTGATTACTTTTCTGCGCATACTTGTGTTGGAACAGGAACAAATAATTGTTGCAGCCCATTCAAATTTAAACATGCTAAAGCCGTTATTTCTTCACAGATGGTAATTTGTAATTGAATTAGCTCAATATATTGAACATACTTATATTTGATAAGGTCTTTGAGCCCAAAATTAGAATTCGTTAGGTTCAATAGTGAGGCATAAACCAATAACTTTGGGAATAATAGTACACTACAGAAGACTAAATTGCTTCTGTACAATCCAGAAAAGAGTTGAATCATTGAGTTATGTACGATCGGATTAATGTTGATGGGTCATCCCTAATATATTCTACTTTGGATTGGTTGATATAAAGTGTGCAGCGTCAGCATCACACTTGCAGGATCAACTGCATTTGTTTGTCATATATTTACCTGCTTCTCAAGAATATGGTCTCAAATCTTGTTTAACTTTTCGTGCTTGATTTTTTCCTTCAAGTGGTTAAACATTATCACTAATTTCTATTTACTCTCCATTTGGAACAAGGCCTAATACTTGACCAACACAATTAGGACGTTCCTAATTTAGAAACATTATTTGCGTCACGACACTAATACACCATGTTTAAACAGGGAAACGTGTCTCATGTCCTTGACCAATAATTGCGAAGTTAGATAGGCTTATTAAGTGATTCAAACAAACCCCAGTAATGTGCTCAACTTTTGTGCTATGGCTTCTTCAAATTTTGCAACAGGCGGGGCAGATTCATATGAAAGTTGCCACATTTGGAGGGTTTACACTTTACGTTACTTACTACTCCCTCCATTTTTTTTTCATAGTCATTTTATCAGAATTTGTTATTTTTTTCATTGTCATTTTACTAAAATCAATGGCTTATTATTTTTTTTTCCATTTTTACCCTTGATAATTAATACATATTTACTTAACAATGTGTATATTTATTTTTAATGTCTATCTATTTTTTCTCTAACTACCCATATAAAGTTAATATGCATTTATAAGAGTAATATGTTCCCAACAAAATACTATAAAAAAACAAAAAAAAAGGGACAGGTATAATTAAATACAGTAAGTTACAGTTCACATGTAATCAATGCATTAATAATTAATGGAGTAGATTGCAGTTCAACAGTCTTAAAAATACAACAACAAAAAAAAGCAAGTAATAAATATTTTTAAAATTAAAATATTAATAATTTTTTTAAGTCTCGTACAAAAATTTTAAATGACTAATAAAAAAAACAGAGGGAGTAGTAAGGACAAACTCAAGTCAGCATTTCAAAAAGTAATATCCAAAACAAACACTAAGTCCTTAGAGTTATGGGTCACTTCTGAATCAGTGCAGGGTACATGTGTGGCCCATATAAAGGATGGATGGTGACCATGTGAATTCCATGTGATTATTGAAATTAGATTTGGTTGACAGTTGACACTTAATAGTCAAACTTAGTCTTTTCTGACAACCACTTAATAATAGCTTTTTCTCTCGGTTACTCTCTTCAGACCGAAATTTAAGATAATAAAAATAAAAACTAATTCATACTAACTAAGAAAAATAAATCAGTCTTATTTCCCCAAAGAACCAAAAAAAGAAAAAGAAAAATAGTTAATATGATTTAATTTTATTAATATTATTTTAAAAGTAAACTATTTTAGCAAACTATATTTTGTTGAAATTTGATATGAAGAATAATATTTATTATTCCTAAATATCCATTGTTTAATTGAGATTACATTTCTAATAATTCTTTTTATTCTTGATATTAAGAATGAGACCAGTGGTATTATATGATACTATTTCCTATTCTAGTTCTAAACAATATAAAATAAATCATCAAAACTAAGAAAAGTAATTAATGTGATTATATTTTTAATTATTTTTATCATAAATTCAAGTTTTATTCTAAATATATTATTTACTTTGCATGATGATTGTCATATTTAATATTAATTATAAGTAAATGTATAAGAAGTAGTGTTAACGATAAATAAAGGATATAAGAGAAATATAACTTGAGTAACTTTAAAACTAGAAGTGTTCATCAGTTGGACAATTTGATAAAATTAATGATCCAAAACAAATCAATTGAGTTGGTTTGATTTTCTTTTATGAATTAAATTTAACTTTAATCCATTTAAATCACATTTTCATTTCATAAGTATGATGATCCGAGATTTAGACCAATTAAAACTATTATTATTATTATTGCTATTATTATTATCATTATTATTGTTATTATCATCATTATCTTTATATTATTTTATAATATTATAATTTTATTAGTAAAATATAATAATTTTATTAGAATGCATGAAGATTACTTGAATAATGATTGTAATTTAAACAATTTAATTATGTTTGAGTGACTATCTTAGTTTTAAATATTGAAATATTTTTAATTTCAAATATTAGACTATGCTTGACTACTTTAATTTCATATTTTCTACATTATTTTTTTTTATGCATAAATTATATTTACACTTTTAATAAAGGCTTTTATTTAAAATTTGGTATAAAATATTATATTTTTTTATGTCTTAAAAAAATAAAATATTACTTTCATTCTTATTGATAAGATCTAACTTAAAGCAATTGTTTATTCATATATATAAGATCTATTGTCTCATATTATTTATTTTTAAACTAAAATATCCCTGGTTAAAGTGTGTTCTCCTAATTTGGGAAAATTCATTAATTATAAATTCTTTAAAGAGAATGTACTATAATTGGTTACGAGAAATATGAATATTAACTAGAAGAGAGAAATAGTATATGGCCTTTAGATTATACAAATATTAATTAAGGGTAGTTTTAAAAAAGAAATATAAATTGGACAAATTTATTGTTATCAACTAAATTAACTACTTTTCCTAATATTAGTGAATTAGGTAATTGAGTCTTATATATAGAAATGAAGATGCCATTTTTTTCTTTCAAAAAACCTGATTAATATAAATTTTAAACTCTAAACGCTAAACAAATCCTAAATCCTAAACAAACCCATTGTCGATCGATTTGGTTTGGTTCAGATTGCAATTCTTTTTTGGATAAATTGATCAAATCAAACCAAACAAAATTGATTAATTTAAACTTTAATTTACTCCAAATCTGAATTAAATCAATCCATGAACACCCCTATTAAAAATAAATGATTATTACTTATAATTAAGATAAAAGAAAATTCTAATTTGTTACTTATAATTAAGACTAAAGATAGTATTAACTAAGGATGTCAATAGGGCGAAGCGGGACAAGTACGAGTAGTAGCTCTCCACTACCCTTCTCACTGAGAATATCTCTTTCATACATGTTAAGTAGATACTTACAAACATTTTAATATCTATGGTATCCACAAGGATAAGAGGATATTTGTTTAAAAAAATCTGATGAATAATTTTAAAAAACATTTTAACAATAATTTTTATTTATTCTAATATTTTTTTAAAAATAATAGTTTAAAAGTTAAAACTTAAATTATTCAAATATTATATACAATTTTATTAATTAAAATTATTAATTTAAAAACTAAATCTAATTGTTAACGTACTTCAATATTATAAGTTTAATGAATTCAATAAAGTAAATAATTCAATCTCACATATTCAAAATAAAAATTAAAAAATTATTATATTTCAATCTTACAAGTATAAATAAAATAAAAAATTAATTAATATCATATTTTCACTTAACATATATTATATATCCAAACAAAGATATTTAATAATTTTATTATAATGAATATCTGCAAGTGAGTACCTTAATATTCATCCTCATTCTCATTTATTAACATATATAAATATATTCATTTAACTTATTTATAAGTACTTATTTAAGTATCTAATTATTATTTATTATAAATTTTATCTACAAATATTTACAGGTACAATTTTTTTTCTTCTCATCATAGTACTAACCTAATTAACGAGAATTCGTTTCTATCCTTATATTTCATGTCGGAGGGAGTAGAAGCTTTTTCCAACTCTTTTGGAATTAAAAAGTAAAATAAGGAGGAATGTGTAATTATTTCTCAAGGCAAAGAAGTGCTAGCAATAATTTTTTTTTTAACATATAACAATAGTAATACACTTTTTATTCATAAAAAAAGTAATTAATTTTTTAACATATGTTATAATTTATTGGAAACTATAAAATTGAGAAAGTTGTTAAATAAGTAGTTGGACTCAACAAAATTTGTTATTTTTTATATAAATTTTAATCAATAATTAAAAAGTATATTTCTAGCACTAAGTTACAACGAATTTTTTTTCCTACTAGTGTTTGTAGGTTTATTTATACTAATTTTGTGCTATTGTAGTAAAAAGCACCGTTATTTGTTTTAAATTAGAGTCTTCTTCACATTGATTGAATTCATACAGATCGCTTTGACCACGAGCATGACACATGATATGCGATTTTCATTTGTTACAAACTTTTATGATGTCAATTCCTTAAAAATAGTTGTAGAACAGAAACATAAAGAAGGGAAAATTGAATTGCTTTTCTAAATCTTTTGTAGAAAATAAGCTTTCCTTAAAAATTAAAAAATAAAATAAAAATAAAAAAGCTCAAATATTACACTACTACATTTTAACTCTTTAGTAACATTTTATTTCTTACATTTGTTAAAATGTTACTATATATTAAATAAATAGGTTATTTTGCAACATTTTTTTTTAAAATGTCATTATAGATAGAGTAACATTTTTTTATTTCAATATTATTCTTTTCAAT